GCTAGGTTGTTGGGCACGGATTTGGTCCGGGATGCATTGGAGAAGGTGAAGTTGATTTAGGAGAGGCTTCGTACAACGCAATCCAGGCAGAATAGTTATGCTGACAGGAAGGCTTGGGATGTTGCATATATGGCGGGTAAGAAGGTCCTAATTAGAGTTTTGCCCATGAAGGCTGTGATGGGGTTCGGGAAGAAGGGCAAGTTGATCCCTAAGTATATTGGTCTTTTCAAGGTGCTTGAGAGGGTTGGAGAGGTAGACTTGCCTTGCCACCTAATCTATCGTGGGTTCACCCAATGTTTCATGTTTTTATGCTCTAAAAGTATAATGGTAATTCGTCTCATGTTTTGGACTTCATCACAGTGCAATTAGATGGGGATTTGACTTATGATGTGGAGTTGGTGGTCATTTTGGGCCGGCACGTTCAAAAGTTGAGGTCGAAGAATATAGCATCAGTGAAGGTTCATTGGAGAGGTCATCCGGTCGAGGAGGCTACTTGGGAGACCGAGCAGGATATGTGGAGTAGATATCCTTACCTTTTTGAGACTCCTCGTATAATTATAGACCCGTTCGAGGAAGCAAGTTTGTTTAAAAGGGTGAGAATGTAAGGACTCGACTGGTTGTTTTGAGTATTTTAGCCTCGTTCCCCTATTTTATGCTTTGCATATGTGTATTTGTGGTTACGTAACTTACCGGGGTGGTTGGTTTGGTTACGGGAAAGTTTCAGAGTGAATTAGGACACATAATTCTAAGGTTGGAAGCTTAAGTTGTAAGAGTTGACCGAAATTTGACTTTTGTGTAGACAACTCCAGAATAAAGTTTTTATGATTCCAATAGCTTCATATAGCAATTTTGTACTTAGGCGTATGTCCAGATTGGGATTTGTAGGTCCGTAGGTTGGTTTGGTACTTTTTGACGAAAGTTGAAAAGTCACAGGTTTGGGAGGTTAATATATTTAACCAAGAGTTGACTTTGTTGATATCGGGTTTGGATTTTGGTTCCGGAAGTTGAAATAGGTTCGTTGTGTAAGTTGGGACTTGCATGCAAAATTTGAGATCATTCCAAGGTGTTTAGGCATGCTCAGCCTAAGTTTGGAATTTTGAAAGTTGAATTAGTTCCCCAAGCTTGAATTGAGGTGCGATTCATGGTGTTGATGTATTTTTGTGTGATTTGAGGCCTCGAGTATGTTCATGTTATATTTTTGGATTGGTTGGTATGATTGGACGCGGTCCCGGGGGTGTTTTTCGGATGGATTTCAGACCATTTCTCTATGTGTTGGATTATTGTTTCTGATGTCTGGAGCTTTCTTCATTGCGATCGCAACAAGGAGGTGGAATTCACGAAGGGCTTTTTTTGAGGCAGGCGACTTTTCTATTCAAGAAGCTTTGGCGAGGCAGTGATTCACAATCGTTGGGGACTCCGCGTTTGTATATAAGGGGAGCCTGGAAGGGGTCAGTCAGCCACAAACCTTCGCGTTCGCCGGTGAGGGGACGCGTTCGTGTAGGCATGGTGGTGTTGGTCATCGTGTTCTCGAGTAGGGCGTCGCGTTCGCGAAGAAGGGTTTGGCAGCTGGGAGAGTTTGTTCTTTGCGATCGCGAAGATATTTTCGTGATTGCGATGGGTATGCCTGGGCAGACTATTTAATATTTCCATTTCGAGGGTTTTGATTATTATATCACATTTTGAGTTGGAGAGCTCGACTTTGGGCGATTTTGGAGGAGATTTTCATGATTTGGATTGGGGTAAGTATTTTTTACTCGGATTAAGTATTTCTGACTCGGATTTATTTATAGTCTATGATTTCATCCTTGTTTTTAGCATTTAATTGATGAATTAAAGTGAAGAATTGGAAATTTTAGTAAAAACTTTCCTAAAGTAAAAATTGAGGATTTGAAGGTCCATTTGATGATGGAATTGGACGAAATTTGTATGGTTTGACTCATATTCGAATGGGTGTTCGAAATTTATGGGTTTGGTCTGGTTTCGAGGTATGGGCCCAGGGTTGAAGCTTTGGGTTGCGAAGATCTTAGCTTTTTTCATTTGGAATCATTTTCTATAACTTTTATTGATGATATTACATTATTTTAGCTAGATTTGAGCGGTCTAGAGGTTGATACCCGTGGGAAGGGCTTGTTAGAGGATTGATTTGGCTTGCTTGAGGTAAGTATCTTACCTAAACTTGGTTAAAGTACTAGTTTCCGGAGTTATTTGTGATAGCTACGCGCTATGGGCGGCGTACATGTGTGGGGCTTAGCCTATCTGCGTGCATCGAGGTATTTTCCATGCTCGAGATAGTGCTTAGGCCATGATATACCTTAAATTGATTGCTAAGCTTTATGTTGTGATGTTTCTCTTATTTTTACCCCTGTTGTGAGCTATTTGAGGCACGTTTGAGGTTGCATAGAGATTAGATCTCCTGATTAATCCTGATAGATGTTATTTTGACATGTATTCACTTGATTTGAGCTATGATATCACACACTTGCACATGCATACACCTTAGCATGTCACTTATACCAGTCCAGTATGGTATTTGATGTTCTTTGATCATGTACATGTATTCTTGCATATCTGCTTTATATGTGATATGGCTTCGATTGGTAGCCCGTGATCACGTCGGGCAGATTGTGATATTGAGTTTGTGACCTAGTCGGATGGATTGTGATTATTAGCACGTGAGTTGTGTGTGCAGTACATGAGTTGTCCGTACGGATCCAGATATTGATATTATTGGCATGTGAGTTGTCCGTGCATCATGTGAGTTGTTTGTGCGGTTGATACTATTAGCACGTGAGTGGTCTGTACATCATGTGAGTTGTCTGTGCAACATGTGGATATGGTTCCATCCTCCTAGGGTCACCCTCTCATGTTTCTCCATTGATGATGTACCCGTGGATTGAGGAAAATTGATCAGTGGTTTGGTACTGTCATGGAAATTATGAGGAAAGGCTGGCCAGTGTTTGATTTAGTATTTGCATTTCATCTTTACTTGCAACTTCCTTGATTGTTATCTGCTTTAATTTCATATATTCTTTATATGCCAGATTTTGACTAAGTAGAGTAATTTAAGTAATTTTGTGCACCAAGGTGGTTCATTGAGAGATTCATGACTTGATCATATCATCGTTTTGTACTTGTTGCATTATGAAATATAGAGGTGGTTCGCGAGTATCATTTATAATTCTTGCCTCTATTACACTCGTCGAGGTTAGTTATGATACTTATTGAGTACATGGGGTCGGTTGTACTCATACTACACTCTGCAATTAATTGTGGAAGACGAAGCCGTGCATTGAAGACGTACCCGCATTCCAGATTCAAGCTACCTCTTGTTCATGGTAGTTTAGGATTTAAGTTCTATTTATGTAAACTTCAACAGATATTGTGTTTATTCTTTATATCGATTTTGTAAATCTAAACCATAATGGTTCATGACTTGTACTACCAGTCTTTGAGGTAGTTGTATTGAAACCGATTGTAATTTCTATTATATATGTTGTTGAGTTTACAGTTTAATTGTAACGTATATCGTTTGACTTATCAAGCGGATTGAGTTAGGTGCCATGACTCAGTAAAAATTTCGGATCTGTGACAATTCCAATCTAGTCAAATCCTCTTTCATACTCATCGTGTAATAAAATGGACAATATAACACTAGTTATTTAATTTATCATAGCAGCAATCAACACGTAGCAATCAACTTCCAGTATTAATGATCTGTATCTTTGATTCAGAATCTAAAAATCTCTAATCCAATCAATTTTCTCGATATCATCACGTCATATATAGGTCAATGCACGATACAGTGTCTGACGGCACGTTTTCTGGGATATCATTATAGACGTTCTTACCATTAATACTGCTGGCTTGTGCTGCGAAACTATGGTTTGAACTTGCCCCCTAAATTAATAGCTCGTCTGGGTTTACAAGCAAAGCATCACCCGATAATTAACCTAGTAAAATTGGTATTTAACCTGTCATTATAGGTTACACTGTTATGTCTATCTTAATCGCAAATCTATTCTTCGATACCCGAATTCAAGAACTTACTATATTCAGTCGTATATACAATATATAGTTCTCAGTTTTGAGTTCAACTATAAATTCGTAGATAGTATTATACTGTTAGCTACGTAATAAAATAATTAAGCACAAGATCGAATAAATAAATTAATATGATTAAATCAAGTAATATCAACAACCGTCAAACGGCAATGCTCAAGAACGACCCAAAAATCAGAACAAGAGGAATTTTAGCCACTCATAATCATATGAACAATCAAAATATTGTTTTGAATCATAAAGACTGAATTACTAAATTAAAGATGGAAGATGAGATGAATCCGTATTCCGTTTGTGTTCCTTTTAGCTCTTCTTGCATCCAACCCCTTCTTGGACTTGTTTAAGGGTATTTATCGGTTAGGACCAAGTCCAAAATTGACAAGAAAATAATTTTCTCTCAGACAGGGCACCTGTGCAAGGCCTGGTGTGGGGAGAGGTACCCTTCTCGCGAGGCCCTATACCTCGCAAGGCGTGGTCAAACGCGAGCTTGAGCTCGCCCCAGGTCAAGTGGGTTTCCGTCTGGGGCTTGGTCTCCTCCGTGTCTTAGGTCGATTTTTTTTTCGTGCTCTATTCTTGTATTTTCAGTCAATTTGTGTGCAACCTTCGTTTTACTTTGCGTTCAAATGGTACTACGCGTAAAATAAATTTAATTTAGCTCAAATGTCGTGTAATTTTTCATTAAAACACCAAAATGTAAGGTCAATAATCTACTAAATCATAAAATTATAACAAAACATCAAGTGTTACATAACTTAAATCTATTAGATATAAAATTGGTTATTCATTAGTAACTAACGTTATCTAATAAATTAAACTACACAGAGATTTAAAAAATCATTTGAATATAATTAACAAAAAAAGGTTCCATTCCTTTCGAGTTTTGATATAAAGACCCCTTCTCCCCTCCACCTAGTCTTCTCTATTCTCATTACCACCAAAAAGAGAGCTACCACACTAGTGATTGGTTCCATCATTCTCTTTTTACTATCAATTTTTCTCTAATTTTAGTCTACACTATGGCTGAAACTCAGTCACTAACAAAATCACAAAATCCCCACATAGTCATACTACCAACTCCTGGTACGGGTCACCTAAATCCTCTTGTCGAATTCGCCAAACGACTTGTTTTACAACACTACTTCTCTGTTACTCTCATTCTTCCTACAGAAGGGCCAATCTCTACTTCTCAAACTACTTTCCTTAACGCCCTTCCCTCTGGCATTAATTATCTCCTTCTTCCACCAGTTAACTTCGACGACTTGCCCCCCGACGTTAACATTGTGACGCGCATTTGCCTTACTATTACCCGTTCTCTTGCTTCTCTTCGTGAGGTTCTTAAGTCACTTGTTGAATCAAAGAAAGTAGTGGCTTTAGTGGTTGATCTTTTTGGTACTGATGCTTTTGATATGGCCATTGAGTTTATGATTTCCCCTTATATGTTCTATACTTCAACGGCTATGATGTTGTCGCTAGCTTTTTATTTACCAGAGCTTGATAAAACTGTTTCTTGTGAGTTTAAAGACTTACCAGCTGTTCATATTCCAGGTTAGAGACAGATCATTCAGATCTATTTTATCATTAACAATTTAATTTTTATACATTGATAGTTAATTTTCTTTACACTATCGAATTATTCACAATATATCTACACATAACTCTTCGTGAAAAATAAGTGAAATTTATAATCTTGCAAATAAAATAGCTTACGTGCTACAATAGCTAAAATTGACCTAATGGTCTAAAAAATATTTATGGTGAGTATTAGTTAAAATCTTATTTTAATGAGTTCGAGGTTCTCAACTCTTTCAAAATTGCTCGAAAATAATACTTATATTTTTATATTGTATTTAATGTGACACTCTTTACTATTTAGTTTGTTAATTATACAAAATGTTACACATTTTTATATATTTGGAAATTCTTTGATTTCAAATTTTTATGTTTAACTTTGGTCGCATATTTTTGCAGCCATAAAAAATAAGGCAGTGTTTGACTTGGCACAGAACTTAAGAAAAAATTAAAGACTTTTAAAATTTATAGTCTAAAATAAGTTATAAATATTCGTGTGGTATAATTAATTTAATTAAGAGTAACATGAAAAGTTTAAGCTTAAATTGTTTCTAAATATGGATGTATAATAGACTAAAAGAAAAATATGATATATAAATTGGGTCAAAACTGGTATAAGATTTTTAAATTCACGAGTTCCACTTATTGCTTGGCCTCTAACTACATATACCACTACTATTCCAGGTTGCATACCTGTACATGGGAAGGATCTTCCCGACCCAGTTCATGACAGGAAAAATGAGGCTTACAAATGGGCTCTTCACCAGACAAAGAGGAAAAAAATGGCGGAGGGCATAATTTTGAACAGCTTCAGCGACTTGGAACCTGGAGCTATTAAGGCTCTACAGGATAAAGAAGCTGGTAATTATAAGCCAACCATTTACCCAGTTGGACCAGTTATACTAATGGATACAAGTAGCAAAGTTGACGATGAGTTACAATGTTTGAAATGGCTTGATGAGCAGCCACGTGGATCAGTACTCTATATTTCATTAGGCAGTGGTGGGACCCTCTCACATGAGCAGCTAATTGAACTAGCAACAGGGTTAGAAATGAGTGAACAAAGATTCTTATGGGTAATAAGATGTCCAAATGATAGAATTGCTAGTGGTACATACTTTTATGTCCAAAATTCAAGTAACCCTCTTGATTTTTTACCTAATGGGTTCTTGGAAAGGACCAAGAGGCTAGGTCTGGTACTACCCAATTGGGCACCACAGGCTCAAATTCTTAGTCATGGCTCAATTGGTGGATTTTGGACTCATTGTGGATGGAACTCGACTTTGGAGAGTATGATTCATGGTGTTCCACTTATTGCTTGGCCTCTTTATGCAGAACAACGACTGAACGCGGTGTTGTTAAATGAGGGTTTAAAAGTGGCATTGAGGCCAAAAATTGGTGATAATGGTATTGCAGGGCGATTGGAAATTGCTGAAGTGGTGAAAGAATTGATGGGAGGTGAAGAAGGAAGAGAAGTGCGTAGAAAAATGAGAGAGCTACAAGATGCAGCAGCAATGGTGTTGAATGAAGATGGTTCTTCAACTAAAGCACTAGCTGAACTTGCTTCTAAGTGGAAGGAGGTGTCACATGATTAATTATAATGTCGGCTCCATTAGCTGTCACATGTCCATGTTGTTATTCAGTTTGGTAACTTCGATTTATTTCACTTGAATAGAGTTGTAATTTTCTTTTTTGACTTTAAAGATCGAGTGAATGGAAGAATCGGAAAAAACAGTAAGAAATCTTCACTAATTTGAGAATACAGAACATAAAATATGACATGAAAGTATTTGTCGATAAAGTACACGTCAATATAAATTGAAATATGTGAGTAACTTTATAGCACACAAATCACCAATTAACTCTAAAAGGGTATAAAATATGTCGATTCATGGTGTGAAGAGCTCATGTTACTCGTTTCCCGCGGGACTCTATAATAGTAGTGATTTTTTATCCCAAACAAACTATATTGATTGGAAATAACTGGACAATTACAAGGGAAGTAAATGACTGAAATTACAGAGGAAATTCACTAGAACACTTGAGGATAATAAGAACGGGATGAGAGAAGCAGAAAATAACAGAGGTGAGAATCAGAAGAGTCTATTCATTGCCTGCATATTCCTAATGATATCTAGATTTATTTTATCCTAACAACTTGTCGCGTCCATCACATGATCAGCCAACACGCACAACAAAATATGTTAGCTTCATTGGCGTTTTCCTCTCACGTAAACTTCTTCTCAAAGTTTCTTTTTGTCCTTCCACGTTGGCATCCATCTCACTATCTATGTCAGCTTCCTGAAGGATTATCCCACTCTCCACCTCAACATCTGGGTCCATAACATTACCCCCACCTGAAATGAGAACCTTGTCCTCAAGGTTCGAAGAGGGCTGGACCGGATCCGAAGCAAATTCTATCAACTGTAGAGGGGTGATCTGGTTATCAGGCTGCCCAACACATCTTTTGAGCATCGAAACATCGAATACGGGGTGAATGCATACGGCATCAGGTAATTCTAGCTTGTAAGCAACTATCCCAACCTCTTTGAGCACTTGAAAGGGATCAAAGAATGTGTATCCTAACTTGTGCTGAGGCTACCCACGGACTGACTGTTAGCGGAAGGGCATGAGCTTAACATAGACATAATCTCGTACCTGGAAGGTAATCTCTGAACGATGTTGGTCGGCCTAAGCTTTCATATGCTTCTGTGCCTTGAGTAAATCCCCTTTTAGCAAATCTAATACCTCATCCCTCTGCAACAAAAAATGTTCCACCAATTAACTTGGACTATATCCCCTGTGACATACCGAGTGATGGAAGGGGCTTTTCTGCCATAAAGTGCCTCAAACGGTGTCATGTCAGCAGAAGATTGCAGGGACGTATTATACCAAAACTCAGCGTAGTCCCCTATAAGCGGTGGATCTCCTGCCAAAAAGAATGAATGAACCATGGATCCCTATCTATAACAATGGTGCGAGGGTACCCATGTAATCGTATGAGTACCCCCATAAAAATCACAGCAATCGATTCAACAGTAAAAGAAGATGGCAAGTGAATAAAATGGCCATACTTGGTCAAAAAGTCTACCACTGTTAAGATTGTTGATTTACCCTTCGAACTAGGGAGGCAGGTAATAAAGTCCATTGCAATGTTCTCAAAAACTAGCTCAGGAATAGGTAGGGAATGAAGTAATCCAGTGGGGTGATTGATAGTAGGCTATAATCTCGTATTTTTGTGGCCTATTTGCTCTCTAATACACTGCACTTTACTTGTGTTGAGCTATATTTGGTAGTATTTTACACTGATTGCATGTTTCATGCCTTGTAGGAGCGATTTCGAGTTATGCAGATGTTGTGGAGCAAATTTTAGCTATTTGGAACTTTGAAGTCTCAGTAAAAGCCCAAGAAACTAAGTCAGGATCGTGCTCGGGGATCAACGAACGAGTAGTGCACTTAATGGGAGAAAAAGGAGTTGAGTAGGAGCGAAATTCAGATACGCAACCACGCATGAGGGCGCGCAAGTGACACAGTACTCTGCCAGACATCCGTGGCCATGAGAGAGGTCATAGCTCCAGAAGCACGGCCGCGCACGGCTGTTCCGGGAACTTTACCCAGGCCTATTTTGGTAAATTCAAAGGCGACTCTTTTTGACCTATATGAAGCCTATCTCGTCTCAAAACAAGGTATCTAAGATTTTGGAGCAACCTTTGGAGAGAAGAAGGCAAGGAAACAACGGAGACTCTAATTACTTCATCCAATTCATTCAATACGGAAGTTTGTTTGATTTTGTGAATTGTAATGTATTCTTGTTCTTCTAATACTCTTGTGATGAATAACTTCTCCACTATGAAGTAATCTTTCTTAGGGTTACAGACGGATATTATGATTTGACTATTGTTTTGGGTTTTTACTCTTTGTTAATTACCTGAATTCATTGAATGAGTTATTAATTAAATTGCAAGACCAATTATGGTTTTACTTTAATCGAAAAAGGAGTGATGCTGCAATTTGCATTGTGTCATATTATTTGGGTTGATTTTACGCCTCTCATAGGTAATCGAAAGAGCTTAAAGAGTTATCAACTGGCCTAGTTTAGAAGAATAGTCGAAAGACGTTCTTCAAAAGATCATTCATTCGCTGTATTTTTGCATATGTTCATAGAACCTGTCATTAGGTTGGTTAATGGAACTCTCATTTATTCGGAAGAAGAATTTGAATCCCTGAGATAGCCTAATCATCTGTTGAAATCGAAAGAGTCAATAAAAGTTAAGAATGAACTTAGCACGGAGTTACCTGGAATAATAGTTGATCACATATCTTGTCACAACCCTTACTTCTCACCTTGATATTAAATCGTTGCTACTTAGTTAGAAAATTTTCATTATTTTCTCACAATCTATAATCTTAGTTTTTATTAGTAGTTGATAATAACATAAATCAACGGTTTATCTTCCTGGATAGTGTTAAGCTAAAGGTTTATTAGAACATTATTTAAACCAATCCATGTGGATACGATTTAATACTACACTATCTTTGACTAACGAGCCTAAATTTATACACAGCTTTTGCGCTCGTCAAAATTTTGGCGCCGTTGTCGGGGATTAGTAATTAATAGTGTTTAAAATAATTTTTGGTGCTAATTCGAGAATTAATTTTTTTTAGTTAACTTGTGTTCAAGATTTCTTTTGTAGTACCTGACAAGTGCTAGGGAGAAAACTTGAAGAAAATATTCCTGATATTGAACTCTAAATGTTGTGAAGATGGAGTATAACCAGCCTATAAAAATGATTGAAGAGTTAGTAGTTGAACATTATCACAAGTCTGTTATTTGTTTTAAATGTAGTGAAAATCATCTATGGGTTGATTGTCAAATAGGTAAGTATTCTTCCTATGGTTCATCTTTTGAACAGTCTCACTCTATTTCTAGTCCGTACAGGTATGAGGTTTCATATGGGCACAATTTTAACTATGGATAGAACGAATACCCTTATTATGACTAGAATGAAAGCGAAGTGAGACAACCACCTCAAGAGGAGAATGGTAGTTTAGAAGAGCTTATGTATAAGTTCATGAATAGTATTGAAGAAAGATTTATACAAAATGATGAAGCCATTAAGAACTTAACAATGCAAGTGAGACAATTAGTAAGTATACTTTCAGAAAGCTCATTGTGTTGTGATGGTGAATATATGGAGGAGATACCCTGTGAGAATGAGCCTACCTAAGAGGAAGAGCATCCACAGAGAAAACTTGCTACTCTGCAAGAACACTCTAATTCAATATAGATGATTGAAGATGAGACTGTGGTTGATTGTGAAGCAATAAAAAAGGAGTTCAAAACCCCATCCACCTTTCCATATTTACAGTCTTTAGTAGAAGAAAAGAAAGAAGAAAGGTCATGTGAAGAATATTCTTTATTTTTTTATTCTAACCTTGATCATGTGGATTTTATTTTTGGGAATTTACAGAAATATGCATGGATTGATCATATGAAAGAATGCAGAAACAAGTTGAGGATGATCCTACAAGAACAATCCACCACTCAAAATGAGACCAAGAAAGAAAAAAAAGAGTGGGGCTTGCAGATATCCTTAGATGACTTTGGCCCGATGAGCTCCATAAAGAATCCTAAAGAGAGAAAACGAGGAATGAATTCTAAATTAGGGGTGTTGTTCATAAGTTCTCGGAAACGAAAAGAATTCAGGGGAGTTTTCTTTACCTCTTGCTTTTTATTTGTGTATCATGGGGACATGCCACAATTTAATGTGTGGGGTGGGGGATATTTGTATGTATGTATACGAGTTTTATTTTTGTTAGTTGTAGTTTTATTTTTGTTAGTTGTAGTAGGTAGAGATAGAAAATAATTGAAGAAAAACAATACCATAAAAATTGAAAACAAATTAACTTTGTGATTTTTTTCGACGATGGATATCAGTCGACAGGTTTCTTGAGGGATTAAAGTCGAAAGAAAAAGACAAAAAGATTTTCTTTTGTAGGTAATGTATTAATTCCCCCTTGATTTTTCTTTGTGCCGCGGTTCTTTTTCAAGGGTTTTGATTGAACCGGGTATAGTTAGTTTTTATTTTGGTAGGAGTAAGAAACCTTGTGCTATGATTTGAATGGAAGGCAATATCTCTTGACTCTATTATACCTTGAGAATAGTGCGTGCTTTAGTTGTGACGCTTAGGCTCAATTTTTGACTCCTGCATAAGTACCTTAAGGTGTATGATCTTAACGTTGCTTAACTGCTCTGACTAGAGTGTCGTGATTCCAATCTTGAGTGAGATATATGCCATGTATGTTGGAGGTTTGTGTTATTCTATGCATTACATCTGATGCCTAGAACTTGCCTTGTGTGTTTGCAAAGCGAAATAGTAGTTTTGTTCAGTCTTGGAAGTGATATAGGCAATTCTTTATTGAGCCAGTTATATGATTGTACCCACCTAATGGTCATGTATGTCAGTTAACCCCGTTGAGCCTGTAATCTTATTTTTTTGGAAATCACATTACAAGTCTTACCCATTTGTTTGAATTGATATCTATTTAAACCTCTTACCTCTCGTGAGCACTTGAATTGGTTATGAACTTTGTAAAAGTCGAAGTGTGGGGTAGTTGGTGAGGCTTTCCAATGGAACTAACGAAATAAGGAGAAAGGTGCACTGTATTGAAAAAGTAAGAGCCACTTGAATTGCAATAAAAAAAGGAAA